ATCCACAGGTATAAATATTCAACACGCTGCGCTGAAAATATCTTCAATAATTTGGAAAACACATTTTAATACATGCCGTCAAAAAACACCAGGGGACGGCGTGAGGTAAAGAATTCATCAAGCCGCGGAGCCAACTCCTGGAAACGTTGTTGTTGCTGCATATAAATATTCATACAGTACATGAAACCGGAGCCCAGATCCCCCGGGTACCGACGGCATCATAATTAGATCAGAGCGCGGGATAATGTCGTTAAAAATAATCTGCCACGTGAGTTGATGGTCGTGGTTTTTGAGAAGAGAAATCAGCTCAGGAATCTGACACCTGGTCTGAGATCAGTTCCTGTAACGAACCAGGGCTGCTGTAGTTTACCATCAGGACCAGCAGCAGCAGCAGCAGCAGCAGCAGCAGCTCATATATCATAATTATAATATTCTTATTATTCTCCTCTCTAAATGTAAAAAACAAAACATTTACTTTGTCAATTTATAATAATTGTTAACTTAACATTCATCCAAAGCATGAGGTAGAAACAGATTCTATTCTCAATCTATGGTAGGTGTACCACTTGAGGTACATTGGTAATTTTTTTTATATCCATATATATCCATTAATAGTACCATACATTAATGTATTATATTTATATATTATATTTTAATAAATATATTCTGAATATTATAATTTTGCTAATCATTTCTGTAAAAACATGATTGAAACATGAATTTCCAAAATAATTTAAAAAATGACTTTTTGTGGAGATTTAACTCTAAGGTTCAGCAAATGTTAAGAACATATTTTAAAGAAGCATCCAATCACATTAGGACATGAATTTCCAGGCAGTTTTTTTGCTGCAGACTCTGAAGCTGAAGTAAATGTAAAGGATCAGGTTGACGTTTTATTGGATCATTTTTGTACCTGTTTTCATAATAAACTGTTTATTCAGTGACATCATACGTCTGCTCTCATTCAATTAGAAAAAACCTGGTCCACAGACAAACATTTCTGTCTCCGTCCTGGTCCGTGAGGACAAAGCTCGTAAGAACGCTCGCCTGCAGCTTCAGGCCTGCACACAGAGAGTGACGATCCACAGAGTTGGTAAACAAGCACCTTACGCAGCAACCAGCAACCAGCAACCAGCAACCCACTCCATGTCCTGTCTCACACTTACAACAGGCAGAACAAACAAGCATCTTATCCTCAGAGGAGAGGAGAGGCAGAGCAGGTGAGGGACAAACAAACAGGGAAACAGATCGGAGACGGCACTTTTACAGAAGGGTCGGGAGGAAGAGACAGAGAGAGAGAGAGACAGAGAGAGAGAGAGTCTCTGAGACGAGCTGCAGATTGGCAAGAAGGATGAGCCGAAGTGAGAGTGAACGAGGGGGGAGGGAGGGAGGGAGGAAGGGAGATATAGAGGACGGAGAGAAGCGGGTCAGGAAATAGAGGACGAACGGGAGAATTGGAATGAGGAGGAGGATGATTGAAGGAGGCAGTGGTGAAGTAAATGTAGGAGCAGACACAGCGCCACCTACTGTATCGGTAATGTTTTTGTATTTTAACAATTCTTCAAGGTCCAAAAATGGAACCAGTA